GGGGACATTTGCAAACGGCTGATTCCTTAGACAAAAGTGACGAGTGCATAGTCACTGCTGCAAGTAGTTTTCAAGGAGATGGCTACAAGTTACAGTGCCAGAAATTTGTCAGCAACTGAAATAGACATAAGATATCATGAAAACGCTGCCCATTACTACATAACTCCTCTAACACCAGATATTACGGCATGTCCTACCGCTCACTGTACATAGCTGTTCATGGAAACTATTTATGCATGCTATGGCTGTGATGTATTTCAGCTCCTGCAATGCTAGATGCAGCTCTCATGATTTTGTTCATTGTAACAATTTCATGATTATCGCGAATGATGTTTTAGAAGCTATCCCTCCATATATGCTGTCACATAAGCATTACAAGTACTAATGGATAAGAGGAAGGTTTTACTTGCACTCACGAAAATGTTGTCACTCCGTGGAACAAGGATTCAATTGGACCGGCAAGACCTATTCAGCCAAACTAATGCGTGTTCACAGAGAATATTGCACTCTTGTGCAGGTATTCCGCTGCTGGGAAGATTGCAGCGCTTGTGAATAGACAGCTAAACCTTAAATGGCCAAAATTAATATAACTATATTAGCAAAATCATAATTTTCATAGTGAACGTTATAAAGGTTTGCTAATATCCATGCACTATTAACAAGCTATAAGCATGCATTAAGGAATATAACCGAAAAGGAGCCCTAACTTCATAATTTTATTTTTTTAACTTCTCAACTTTCAGGCATCTCGATGCTTACAGTTGCATGAGGTTAAGCTTAAAATATCACATTTCTTTCGAAATTAAATTAGTTTAATGTCACACAGCTAGCCATGTCTTCAAACTTCAGCCAAAATGTAACATCCTTCTTTAATCTTTACTGAAAAGCTGACTGTGGCTTTATCACATCATGTCTGATATACATGTGAAGGTCGACTTTATTTTATGTTCTTGATCAAAGTACCTTCTTGCAAGCATTTTGGCCATGAATGCGCTTCTTCCATCTCCCACCGTTATAACGTCCAAACCAGCCGTCATAGCCGTAGTCAGCAGGAACACGCATCGGTCATACTTTATTGTGCCTTGCTATCTCGTACCTTTACTGTGAGATCTTTCAATGATGCTGCAACAAAATTAAACCTGTGGACGGCTCGGTAGTAATATGCCAGCGTGGAAAAGAAATACTAAACGCTGATAAAATGATTCGTTCATGCGTTGGTGGTGATGGTGAAAAATATCTTCTGAGTACGTTATACATTTGGAAAAAAATCAAAAGGGCTTTTTCGAGCCTGCGTTATTTAGATATAAATAAAGTTTGAATAAGATCATCGATGACAATATGTGATTCAGTTTCTCCCCTTTTCTGTGTTTTTCTGGGTAGAGTTAGAAAATGCCAATTCACGTTGTGCTGTTCTTACACTAAAGCCAAAATGAGGGATAAGGCCTCATCAGACTTGAAATTCATCTATTACATAAATTGTGACACGTTTTATTATTACCATGTGTAATACAGTATCCAATGACAGGATGAGGTGAAGAAGTTTGTTGGATGAAGATGGAGAAGATTCGCAGAAAACCGAAATTTATGGCAGCGTTTAGGAGATTACTATCCAGCAGAGCATCGAAAAAGACTTACAATGACGATGAAACTACAGTAGAAGTTTTTGTGGCAAAGT